GGGGGGGGGGGGGGGGGGGGAAATGCAATACTGGACATACAAAAGAAATCTCCTGATGCCTTAATAATTGAAAGGGATATACAAAGAACAAATCAAGATAATTTTTCTATATTGGATTTACAGAAGAGGCTCATTAAAGCTTTGAATAATTTTTTTGAGAAGGAATACTCACACACAAATATCAATGAAAAGAATCAAATTCTAAAACATTATTTGATGAGATTAAACAAGATTGTTAAAAGGAAAGAATAGAAAGTTGGTTTATTTGAGATCAGGATTAAATTAGTTATGTTATCTCTGATAACCCTGCAGTAAATTGCTTATTTTTTTTAGTTTTTCTTCTCTGTGCCTTTATTCTTGTTAGTTTGTGTTAGTTTTTATTATTGCAGTTGTGATTTTTAATAAAAATAACTAAAATACATTATTCTAAAATAAATTATCTTTGTCAGGGCTAAGTTCTGTGAAAATTTAGATATGAATACATATTTCTTTGTGTACAATTTAGGCTTGGAATCCTGCTGCAGAGGACCAGTGCTTTGACAGATGTCATAGACTTGGACAGAAGCAGGATGTTATCATCACCAAGGTGAGTTGATCGTTATTTTAATAATCTGCACTTCTAAAAATAACACATTTTTGCTCTTTTGAAAACAAATTATAATATTTTTTCAGTAACATCTAGAATTTGTTTACTTGCTAATTTGTAGGATAATACATCTATATTTTATAATTCTTTTTCATGTGCTCTGAGTTAAGTACCTTTATAATGGTAGTTAATTTTGTTTTGCTTTACATTTTTTTAAATTGCTCTAGTTCATTGTAAAGAATTCTGTAGAAGAAAATATGGTTAAAATCCAAAACAAGAAGAGAGAACTTGCAGCTGGAGCCTTTGGAACCAAAAAACCTCCTACTGGTGAAACAAAAATGAACGAAATCAGGACTCTGATGGATATGTAATTTAAAATATCGGAACAAATTCAGCTTTAAAAATAATTTGATGTTACATGTTCAGACAACATAATACTGAAAATAATATTTCTAATAACTGCAAGGTTTTTTTTCCCAAACAGCAAATGAGGTATCATTTGTAAACATACTTATACTGGGCAAATGGTCCAGAGTAGTAACAAACTTTAGTGTAGTAAACTCAAGTCTAAATGTTCAGTTTTTATACTAAGAGCAAAGCTTCATTAGAGTTGAATGTACACGGTATATTGTCAAATGATGTTTTTGAGTTTTTGATGTAAGCACTCAAGTTGTAAATTTTGTTGCTTGGATTATATCTATACCTGTTGCAATTTAACTTGTAACTTCTGAAGCTTTACACACTGGAGTTTAATGTTACTGTGTATTATGTTTTGTATTGACTATATATTAGCAACTGAATAGAAAAAGGCTTACAAATAATGTATATTGGGGAAAAATGAAGAAAAAGTGCATATGCCAGCAGTGGCATTCGTGTTGGTTTTGCCCCATGTTTTTCCAACTTAGAAGCATCTGAAAAGGGATTCAAAATGTGTTCAGCTGAGACTTAGGTAACATATCAGGCCTGTAAACTTCCTTTATGCCTGCATTTCGTTTGTTTATTGAAAAATAAGTAATCATTTGAACTGTTTTTCTGCTGTTAATAGTATAAAACTATTGTATATTTCTAGTTTGATTTCTTGGCAAATAAAATTTTTATCAAGACTGGGTTGCTGACAAGATACTTTTTTTGTTATTTCTGGGCATAAGTGTTAGATTTATGGATTATTCAAGGCTTTTGAAATTGGTGAGATTTTATTAGAGTTCGGAAAGATTTAAAATTCCCTCCATGCCACCTTTCATGTGTATAGGATTAATGTTGGAAGACAGAAGTTTTCTTCCATCTCTGGATTTTCTCCACACATTTGAAAAGTCTGACATTTCAAAATCCCAGCTGGTGTAGAAAATTTCCAAGGAGAAAAGGGCCTGTCTATGGACACTAATTGCAGTGACTTGACTGAATGGGCACCATCTCACTTAACTCATTATCCCTGGAATGATGTTTTAGCCATTCAGGAGTATTGTTCATCTAATTACTTAGGATAATAATTTACTAAGGATTGTTAAGGTGTTAAAGTGGACATGCTTAAAAAAAATTTGGCTGTGGTTTTTTGGCTGTAGAAATGTCCAGCCTGTAAAGTCAGAATTTATGACACCGTCTTATGACAGTATTATTTTCTCTTTTTTTATTTTCTTCCCATCTCAGAAGTGCCACCCTGGTGAGCTTTCAATTAATGTAGACATCCTCTGTGGCTTTTAACGTAGCTCCTTTTAAGTAGAACACAAACATTTAAATAGAAAGCAGACTTACTCCAGATCAACTTTTAAGAAAATCCTCAGTGGGATTGATTTGAAAAGTGTTGAAGACACAGACTACAAATGCTAAGTAACAGACTTCAGAGGGTCGCAGATTTTATTGCCACTTGATGGGTTGACAACCTTATTTTGTACTTTGAGTGCCATTACAGTTCACAGATTTACTTGTCTCAGTCATATAGAGAACTGAACAAAAGCATTTGCCATGCTGTATTTTTGTGCATAGAAATCTGGTCAGAAATGGCTGGAACTGGCAGAAAGGTAACTTTACAGTTACCAAATTGCATATACATATGCTAGTATTGTAAGGCTGTTCCATTATAGCTGCCTGAATCTCTAGCCATTATTTTATTGTAGCAAGCAGAACATATTGGTGTGGATGTGTGTGAAAGGAAGGAGAGGTAACGCACAGTCTTTTAGGTCTAAGTAGTATGTTTCAGGCCAGTCCAGTGTCCTGTTCTCAAATTCATAGGTTTTTGAGCAAAACAAAAAGATCTGACTGCTGGACACATGATTGGCACAAGAATTCATACTTGAAACAGCTTTTGCTCAGTTCTTACCTGCAGTATTACCAAAAGCCTTCAGTTGAGCAGTGGCAATGCTGCTGGCAAACTTAACTGACCCTAGCTGACTTCTAGTTGCTACAGCTCTGAAACAAGTCCTTGTATTGCTGACATTTGGGGGAGCAAATACAAGTGCTTTTAGTGGAGGTAGGTGTCAAGTTTTTTCTTGATGTTGTCAAAGCTGTCTGCTCCCATGTAGTCAGCCTGGCCTTGCTCCCATCTTTCTTTACGTTCTTCTGAGGATATAGCTGGTGGTGAAGGTGGCAAATGTGGCATTGCTGCTGCTGAAAGTGACAGGTGGGACACTGCCTCTGTTACCTCTTCCTAAAAAGAAATGAAAAATAAGTGGGAGAAGCACAATTATACGCTACAAAAAGGTATAAGCATAAAGCAACCAAGCAGAAGGTAAGAAAACTAATGAGATCCCATGCAAAGCAGCAAGCACCATTAATGCAATTTAAAGAGCTATGAACACATAAATAAAAAGAGTATCTGGGTCAATGAAATAGCAGACAGGTAGTTATGTTTAAGTTCTTCATACCTCTCTACAGAAGCCACAAGAGAAAGCCAGTGTATAGACCAAGCCCGACAGCTGCAAATAGTTCATTAGAAAGTTGAAATACAGACAACAGACAGCATAGCTCAAGAATCGATCAGTATGTTTAGTCACAGGGCTAAGAATTTAATTATTGTTTTCTGTATATCAAGCCCAAGTAATCAATGTTGCATTACTAGTCTGCATGCATGAGAAGGCAGAACCAAGTTATTTTAACTGGCAAGATATGTAAAAACATCAGTAAAGAAACACACAAATTTTGTAGGTGCACTATTGTAAGGCTGTTGTAATACAAATTTTAAGACAGTTGGCACAATACTGCCCTTCATTCACCCTCAATTTATCAGAGACAACAGTTCGTAATGGAGAGCAGATGTACCCCTGCAGGCATCTCTCTATGGTCTGCTTACTGACTGCAATTTTCTAGAAATTTTCTCTTAAGACAAATAACTTGATGCCAAGCATAGTGCAGGATATGAAGCTTTGAAAGGCCTACCCCTGGCCTAAGTGCATATTCCAATCTGAATCAACATTTTAATGAAAATTAATAGCACTGTGTCATTTAAAGTTGCTTTAAAAATGCAAGCATTAAATGATGCCTGCTGGAATTTAACAGTGCTCTAAGTCTAAGACATGCCTAACCTGTAAAGGAATCATGGATGCTTCAAGGAAATTCTTCAAACCAGCTACACAGATTTACAAAGTATGCAAATCCATTGTAAAAGACTGACATTAATATCAATCACATTCAGATTCCTTGTAGACTTCTTCAAAGTTCCGTTGGGTGAAAGTAAGAATTCAACCATGCTATCGGGGGTACTGTCCAAAAGATGGTGGTGGGAGTTCAGAATACCACTGGTTTTGATGAGTCTGAACTTGCACAAAACATTTGACCCTATTTTAATGTATGTACTTCTTGTCCTGAAGTGCCTTGAAAATTGATTTGGCACTCTTCATATTCTAGCACTGAAATATGGTATATACATTTGTATTGGAAGATACAATCTTATATGGATGGATGATCAGGATGGGAAAAAATATCTTTCTGCATTATTTCTTTGCTCTATAACATTTCCTATGAGCTCTGGGAAAATAATTTTAGGGACATGTAGTCACTACTAACTATATTTAGGATGATAGGGAAACATGATTTGACTAAAATGGAGAGATTCAGGAGATAAGGGGTTGTAAATTTATAGACCTCTGTAGTCTATAATCTCCATTCTTGCTCAAACTCTGTTGTAGGATAAAGACTTCTCATGTTCCCATTCTCCAAATACCCATTTTAATTATCTGGTTAGTACTAAAGACATAAATGCAGGCGTGTCCATGTTTGTTTTGGCTACCCCATAGCCCCTTAAGAACAGTCTAGAACCTCAACTATTATTTGGTATTCTAATAAGCAGATCAATATGCTGCATTTATGGGGAGCAGACAAAATGTTGCAATACTTATGACTAGTCAGCTGACTAGCTAATGCACAGTTGCAAGCTATTTTTGTAGCAAACATGCTGGCTTCAAACCAACTCAATTCCAAGCCAAAAAAGAAATCTTTTCTACATCCCACATTAAAGTAGAGAATGTCCATTTATGAGACATACCGCTTTTACACCAGTAGCTGTATCTTTGATTACACCATGCTGCTGTAATAATGGTAAGATATTTGTGACAAAAGTGTCCCACCACATATTGAGGAACTCTGGATGAATCATTGTGGGATCTTGAGCGTCTTCTTTGACACTTTTTGCTTTGGAGTCATATGTATAATTCCATGGTTTCACTCTGCCCAGAAAGTGCACAACTTTAGCATTCATCCCAAACCTGTCAAAATAAGAGGTCACCTTTATATGTGGGTAAAGTCACAGCACCTAATATAGGAGTGGATATCCTTTATGTATAGCTTGAAAGAATAATTATGTTTTGTTTAAAGTTAAATACAGTTCAGTTCAATATTCTGTATGGATCTGAATTATTATGTCTATCAGAAAAATACCTTTACTGGCTTTACCACAGCCAGAACTGGTGATGCTAAAGAAGGCTGCAGTGAAGTAATCAAAATCAGTGCCATATTGTTACATCAATTTGCATAATTAATTCAACTTGTTTTTGTCAGTGAACAGCAAGAAGCTACAAACTGAAGATCACTAAAGTTCATCCCTGAGAAGGGATCAGAAATTCCACCCTGAGTTTCACTAGCTTGATATTGTGAATTACTATTGATACATATATATTACTTATTTATTTTTCAACCAAATGCCTACCAACTATCTACCATACTTTAGACATTGCTCTTTCCCCATTTATTTATATTAGAAAATTTGGAAATACTAGCAGGTCAACAAGTCTTAGTAAAGTATGTAACTATTAAGTGCATGATCCTGAGTTCCTTTATTAATTTGATAGACAGCATAATAGAACAAGGAGTGTTTGAAATTGAACATGAAAGAAAACCAGTTCTACAAGATGTCTTAAATATTGTATGTGAAAAACAAGTTGATTTGATGTGTTATTTAATAAATTA